GCAGTTGAGATACCCCCAGGGCCGGGGATTGAGCCTGCAGTTGAGATACCCCCAGGGCCGGGGATTGAGCCTGCAGTTGAGATACCCCCAGGGCCGGGGATTGAGCCTGCAGTTGAGATACCCCCAGGGAAGGGTCCCTTCGCTGGAATCAAACCCGGGACCCTTCAGTCCACAGCCGAACACTCTAATCACTGAGCCAAACTGGCCAGGGCCATGGTTAGTTTTTTGAGGACCCTTCATAGTGCTTTCCACAGTGTCTGCACCAATCTGCTTTCCCACCAGCAGTGCACAAGGGTTCCCTTTTCTTTTCTTTCCTTTTCTTTTTTAAAATTGTTGGGAGTATTACAGATGTTCTTCACTTACCCCCCGACCCCCTTTGTCTCCCTCCATCCAGCCCCCACCCCACCCCAGGACTTCACCACATTGTTGTCTGTGTCCATGGGCTGTGCATAGGTGCACATATGTTCCTTGGTTAAACAGTTCCAGTCCTCTCCCCGCTGAGGTCTGCCAGCCTGTTCCACGTAGCCATGCCTCTGGTTTATATTGACCATTAGATTTTACATGTGAGTGAGATCATGTGATGTTTTTCTTTCTCTGACTGCCTTATTTCATTTAGCATATTAACCTCCAGGCCCATCCCTGCTGTCCCAAAGGGTAAGAGTTCCTCATTTTCACAGCTGCATAGTATTCCATGGTGTAAATATCCCACAGCTTTTCTATCCACTCACCTACTCATGGGCACTTGGGCTGTTTCCAGATCTTAGCTGTTGTAAATTGTCCTGCTATGAACATAGCGGTGCATATGTTCTTTCTGATGGGTGTGTCAGCATTCTTAGGATATATTCCCAGAAGTGGGATCACTGGGTCAAATGGCAGTTCCATTTTTAATTTTTTGAAGAAACTCCATACTATTTTCTACGGTGGCTGCACAAATCTCCGTTTCCACCAACAGTGAACTAGGGCTCCCCTTTCTCCACACCCTCGCCAGCACTTGTTGTTTGTTGATTTATTGATGGAGCCATTCTGACAGGTGTGAGATGATATCTCATTGTGGTTTTAATTTGCATTTCCATTGATTCATGACTGAGCATTTTTTTCATATGTCTCTCGACCATCTGTATGTCCTCTTTGGAAAAGTGTCTATTCAGGTCTTCTGCCCATTTTTTAATTGGATTGTTTTTCTTCCTTTTGTTGAGTTATAAGCACTTTATATATTTTGGGGATCAACTCCTTACCAGATGTGTGATGGCAAATATGTTCTTCCATACAGTGGGTTCCTTTTTCACTTTGATGGTAGTTTCTTTTGCTGTGCAGAAGCTTTTATTTTGATGCAGTCCCATTTGTTTATTTTTTCCTTTGTTTCTTTTGCCCTAGGAGATGTATTGGCAAACATATTGCTATGAGAGATGTGAGATTTTGCTGCTTATATTTTCTTCTTGGATTTTTATTGTTTCATGACTTAGTATTTTCTTAAAATCCTTTGCATTTCTTTGGTGTCAGTTATTACTTCAACTCTTTCATTTTTAATTTTATTTATGTTGGTCCTCTCTCTTTGTTTCTTAATGAGTCTTGCTGAAGGTTTATCAATATTTTTTTAATCTTTTCCCAGAAACAGCTCTTGATTTCACTTATCTTTTGTATTTTATTTTAGACTCTATGTCATTTATTTCCGCTCTGATCTTTATTATTACTTTCCTTCTATTCACTCTCGGCTTTTCTTGTTCTCATTCTAATTATGTTAGTTGTAGGGTTAGACTGTTTATTGCAGCTTTTTCTTATTTCTTGATGTAGACCTGTATGGCTATGAACTTCCCTGTCAGGATGCCTTCTCTGTGTCCCATAGATGTTTTATTGTTCTGTGCTCATTTTCATTTGTTTCCAGGTAGTTTTAGATTTCTTCCTTCATCTCCTTGGTAACTCATTCATTGTTTAATAACATGCTATTTAGCCTCCATGTGTTTAAATGTTTTGATTTTTCCTGTTGCAGTTCGTTTCTAGTTTTATGCCACTGTGATCTGAGAAGATGCTTGATAAGATTTAAATCTTCTTGAACTTGTAAAGATTTATTTTGTGCCCTAACATGTGATCTGTCTTTGAGAATGTCCCATGTGCACTTGGGAAGAATGTATATTCTGCAGCTTTGTGGTAAAATGTCCTTTAAATATCAATTAAGTCCACCTGGTTTATTGTCTCATTTAAGGTTGCTGTTTCCTTTTGATTTTTTGTCTGGAATTTTTGGCCAGTGATGTCAGGGGAGTGTTAAAGTTTTCTACTATGACTGTATTCTGTCAATCTCTCCCTTAAAGTCCTCCAGGAGTATTATAACATATTTTGGTCCTCCTCTATCTGGTGCATATATGTTTACAAGGATTATTTCCTCTTGTTGGGTTGATTTTATTAGTATTATATAGTGACCTTCTTTGTCTCTTGTTTTGGCCTTTATATTAAAGTATATTTTGTCAGATATAGGTATTGCTACTGCAATCTTTTTTTTGTTGGCTTCCATTTGCATGGTAATTTTTCCCCATCTATTCACTTTCAGCCTGTGTGGGTCTTTTGTTCTGAGGTGGGTCTCTTGTAGACAGCATATATATGGGTCATGTTTTCTTATGCACTCAGCTAGCCTATGCCATGTGATTGGAACATTTAATCCTTTTACATTTACAGTTATTATCAATAGCTACTATTTATTGCCATTTTTATTCTATACGGCTATGTTCCTCTCTCTATATTTCTTCTTACGGTAATCTCTTTAGCATTTCTTACAATGCCAGTTTGGTGGTAATGAACTCCTTTAACTTTTTTTTAGTCTGAGAAGCTCTTTATTTTGCCTTCAATTTTAAATTGATAGCCTTGCTAGATGGAGTAGTCTTGGTTTCAAGTCCTTGCTTTTAATTACTTTGAATACTTCATGTCAATCCCTTTTGGCCTGAATTGTTTCTGTTGAAAAATCAGCTGACAGCCTTTTAAGAACTCCCTTTTAGGTAACTGACTGTCTCTCTCTTTTTGCCTTTAGGATTATCTCCTTTACTTTAACCTTTGCCATTTTAATTATGGGTTTGTTTTGACTGGGACTCTGTGATTCCTGAACTTGTGTCACTTTTTTCTTCAGCAAGTTAGGAAAGTTTTCTGTCATTATCTCTTCAAACAGATTTCCAATCCTTTACTCACTTTCTTCTCCTTCTGGTACCTCTATAATGTGGATATTGTTACATTTCATGTTGTCCCAAAATTCTCTTGAACTATCCTCATTTTTAAAAATTCTTTTTGTTTTTGTTGCTCTGATTGGTTGTTTTTCTCTACCTTGTCTTGCAAATTGCTGATTTGATCTTCTGCTTCATCCAGCCTACTTTTAATTCCTTCCAGTGTATTCTTGATATCAGATATGATATTATTTATTTCCAACTGGTTCTGATTCATGGTTTCTTTCTCCTTTTTCATGCTGATGTATTTCCCACTTAGTTTTCTTGTAGTTCCCATTAAGTTACTTTTAGTTCTCACTAAATTCCTTGAGCATCCTTATAACCGCTACTTTGATCTTCATTTTTGATAAATTGTTTACCTCTATTTCATTTAGCTCTTTTTACGAAGATTCCTCCTTTTCTTTCATTTTGGGGTTATTTATTTGTATCCCAATTTAGCTGACCCTTTGTGTTTGTTTCTATGTATTAGATAGAACTTCTATAACTCCCAGTCTTCATTTGGTGGCTTTTTGTAGTAAGTGTCCTGTGGGACTCAGTGGTGCCATCTCCTTGGTCTCCTGAACTGGATGCTCTTGGAATGTCCCTTATGCGAGTTATTTAGATGTTCCTATTGTAACTGTGTCTGGATTGTTGTTGTCCCATTTGTGGGTGGGAGCTCCCCTCATGTTGGCTGACTGTGATACTCAGCCCCAAGCACATCATGTGAACTGTTGTACAGGTGCTGAGAATGAGTGTTTGCTGAAACCTCTTTCTTTCCCCTTCCTCATTTTCTGGTCTTCTGCCTCAGGAAAGAAGAGTCTTTAGCATTAAATGCTCCACAGTGTGACCTTCACTTCATCTTTCAAGTTCTGCATTCAAACAAAATGGCCTAGTTAGTGATTTTTAAGCTTCAGTTAATACTTAAGGCTTACCTTTTTCTGCTTCTCATGTGAATAAAAATTATTCTTTGGATAATGTCCCCGAAATTAACATTGATACTTAAACTTTTTAGTGGTGGTATGATATTCTAATTTCCCTTTTCTTTATTTCCCTGGGGACTATAGTTTCTCAGAGCTATAATATAAGAAGCTTTCTTTTCCATGTTTTATTATATAACTTTAGACAAGCAGTAGTTCTTCATTACCCTTATGCAGTGCAGGAAAAGTACTGTTTGGTTCCCTTTATCATAAATGTAGCATCATCTTAGGGCTGAAAACAAAGCTCTAAGGTAGTAATATCTCAGAATTCAGCTAAATATTTTCCCAGGGGTATAATGTAGAACTTGCATAGTTGTTGTTTTGGGATATAAAAGAGATCTATCATCCAATGAAAATTCTGTTTAAATATCTAGCATGTGGGGATTTCTCAGGTTTTCTTTAAAAGGCTACATACAGTTATAAGATATTAAACTATAGGAGACTTTGCAGATGTTTTGGCTAATTTATATCATAGATGAGGGAAGCGGGGCTTCTAGTATTTCAGAAGATTGTTTCTGTCATTTATGGGAGAATTAAAATGTTCAGTTTTGCAATCTTTCTTCTATATGCCACTTCTCAATTTTGAAAGCTGATTATTTTTGATTCCTATAAATTGTAAGTAGTAACAGTGCCATCCTTAGTTTTACGTTTTTGGTGTTTGATTACACCAAATACTTAGTGTTCTATAGAACCACTTGCAACATTTTTTTTCTTATGTAAACGAGATAGGGGAGAATTCCCCAGAGTGGACAGAGGAAATCATTTCCAAGAAGTTTGTGGCTTGCGTGATGAATATGTCCATTTTCCCCAGAAGGTTCATTTATCAGGTCATACCATGCAGATGAATCCAGAAAATTATCCTCAGGTGACAGGATTTGCTCTCTTGGGGCTCTCTTAGGTAAGAGAAATTTGGTTCGTCTTCTTTGTTGTCTTTTCTGTTGTGTATTTCATGACTGTAACTGGAAATCTCATTGTGGCCATAGTGACCTCTTACCCATACCTGGACACAACCATGTACTTTCTCTTGGGAAATCTTTCTTTCCTGGGCTTTTGCTACTGTTTCATTATGGCACCTAAAATGTTGGCTGATTTGCTCTCAGGCAACCTCATCATTTCCTTTGTTGGCTGCCTGACTCAACTCTTCTTCCATTTCATTGAAAGCATTAAGATCTTCCTGTTGAGTTTCATGGCATATGACCACTATGTTGCCATTTCCCAGCCCCTGCACTACACACTTATTATGAATAGAGTGATCTGTGGGCTCCTCATGGCAGCTTCCTGGTTGGGGAGCTTCATCCACTCCATTGTAGAGGGTGAAATGACTATTCAGCTACCATTCTGTGGGCGGGACAAACTGGACTTTTACTGTGATTTGCCTCAGCTGATCAAATTGGCCTGCACAGATATCTTTGTCTTAGAGCTTCCGATGGTGTCTAACAATGGCTTGGTGACCCTGACGTGTCTCCTGGTGCTCCTGGGATACTACATAGCACTGCTAGTCATGCTCCAAAGCCACTCATGGGAGGGTCTCAGGAAAGCCCTATCCACCTGTGCCTCCCATATTGCTGTGGTGACCTTAATCTTTCTGCCTTGCATCTACATCTATGCAAGGCCATTTAGTATATTCCTCATGGATAAGGTGGTTTCTGTGCTATCCACAGAATGGTCACCCCATGCTGAATCCTGCTATCTATATCCTGAGAAACAAAGACATGACTATGGCCATGGAGAAGCTGTGAGGAAGCAAAAGAACCTTCTGGGTCCACTGGAGCTCTGACCCCCAGATAGGCAAAGGTGGTACCTGAGGACCTAAAAAATGCTTCAATGTACTAACCTGCTTGAGAGGACTCACAAAGTAGCTAAAACCACTTGTCCACAGCTTCTCTATTGTTCTTACCCTCAGTCAACTTCTGGTGATCTAAACTTTTAACAAAGCTATGAAATAGAATGAGTATCCTAGAACTTCTCCCAAGAGCCTCCTAGAGACAAAGTTTCAAGTGCTATACAGAAATGATGTTTGGCTCAGAGGGCACTTTCCTATATGAGCCTGATAGTTGGTCCTGCTGAAAAACTTCCAAATGCAGTATGCATGAAGCTGATACATCTGGTGTTTCTTTTCTGATATGCCTTCTTTGATACAAAACACATTTGAGAAACTCAAAACAATTATAAACGTCTTGGAGACAGGAGGGACCTGGAGGTTTAAGTAAATATCATATGCTGATTTCTGATTTCAGAAGGCTGATTGAATTTAATGTCAATAAAGAGAAAATAAATTATCTTGGTCAAATTACTTTTCCCCGCATCATTTCTTAAGGCCCTATCATTATTATCTAAATAATATTTAAGAGCTTATTATGTGACAGACATTGTACCAAGTGATTTACATTTATTATTTATTTTAATTCTCTCAACATTTTCTTAAAGACATATTTTTATTTTTTATTTATTTATTTATTTATTTATTTATTTATTTATTTATTTATTTATTTTTGATTTATTTAATTATTACCTGAAGATATTTTTTTCCATTGACTTTTTTTTTCTTTTTTTTTTTTTAGAGAGAGAGAGTGGAGGGCAGGGGAAGAGAGAGAAAGAAAGAAAGAGGGAGGGAGAGAGAGAGAAAAACATCAATGCGAGAGAGAGACATCAATTGGTTGTCTCACACACGTGCCCCAACTGAGGCCAGGGGTTGAGCCTGCAACCCAGGTATGTGCCCGTGACTGGGAATTGAACCTGTGACCCTTCTGTGCAAGGGCTGATGCTCTAACCCCTGAGCCAAAGCCGCCAGGGCAAAGATATACATTTAATTTGATAAAAAAGTAAGGTTTGTGTTTGGCTAGAAAATCACATAAATACAGTTTTAAAAAAACAAGCAACAAAAGTAGGGAAATATTTGTAACACATTACTGAGAAGGGCTAATTTTATTAACAGATATAAAAATTATTTTTCATGTTTGAAAAAATAGAGTTTGTGAAATGTTTGAGTAAACACATACTACCTCTAAAACCTTTTCTTGTTCCATTCTGTTTTTAAATAGCTTTATTAAAATACAATTGACATATAACCTATACTTAAGAAATTCAGTTTTGATGTATATATGAAACACATGAAAATAATGAAGGTATCTGTGATTTCCAAAGTTTCTCATGTCCCTGTAATTTCTTCCTCCCTCTTTCCTCTTACTCATCCTCAGTTTACAAGCAGCTATTGACTTGTCAGCCCTATAGATTAGTTTGCATTTCTCTAATTTTATACTTATAAGTGAAATTATTCAGGATAAACTCTTTGTTATCTGGCTTATTTAACTCAGCATAAATATTTGAGACTTACTGTTGTAATCCAGAAGTTCATTCTATGATGGCATAATCTATTTCAGTGCTAGTTTTAACTGAATATTGATTTTAGCAGCCAGCCACTTGGAATTCAGCCAAACTGTGAAGTTGGTGTTGAAGCACATATAAAATCATAGGTATTTTAAAAATGTACATGAGTGAGATTAAACTATTTATGCTATATTTAATATTTTCTGAGTAACATATCTTTGATGTCCTCCATACCAGGCTATACCATCATAGGTATTTATTCAAGAGAAAAAAAAGCATATGTCCATACTAGCTTTGTACACTGATGCTCTTAACAGCTCCATGTGTAATAGCATCAAACTGGAAACAACCCAATGTCTATCAGCGGGTGAATGGCTAAACACATTGTAGAATATTCATACAATGGAATACTAATCAATAATTAAATTAAAAAATAATAAATTATTAATAACCACAACAACTTGGATGAATCTCCTGATAGGCAGGTATCATTCTTATGAGGTAGGGATCATTTTTATGAGGTAGGCATCATCTTCATTTTAATAATAAGTCTATTGCAAGTTAGAGATATCAAATCATTTATTTAAGATTCCAGAACTTGTTTCTGCAATTCAACTCATGTATATTTAACTTTGGAGCCCAAGTTATTGATGGTATTTAAAACTCTATATTGCTACTAAGGGTCAGTCTCTCTTTATGTGTTTGTGCCAGGTAAATTGGCATCATGAATAGAGATAATATGTTAGTTGGTTTTGGCCTAGTGTGATTGAGAAAGTCAAGCAGACTAGATATTGCAATATAGGGGCATGGAATAAAAGATCATTTATGGACAACTGAACTCAAAAAAGAATGCAGAATTAGGTTATAATGTGGACAGGGAGATTATGTTTTAGTCTCTAAATAAATAGTTGTCATTTTCTCTAGATCTCTGTTTTAAACCATTTATTAGTGATGATAAATTCTGTAGGAGGGTCTCTCCTGAGCCATTCACTTCCTGCATGGGGAAAATGGGTGGGATGGTTACCAGAAAGATCATGAAGCAGGGTGGGCTGTGAGTGGAGGGTTGGGTATTTGTCTTGAGAATTAAAAGTATGAAACACGTTTGTACACAACTGATTTTTTAAAAAAAATAAACACATTAAAAAAAGAAAATAAATATATAAGTACCTCTAGAAGTTCTACTTCAATTTAAGAGGGTATGGAGAAGTGGCTATGGCCCTGTTTTCTATCATCTTTTTATTCCTTCCTAACACCTTAACTCCTTGATCCAGACTTCTGCATCTCCTACCACCAAGTTAATCAGTTAGCTTCAGAGGACCTGCACCTTTTTATCCTCATGTCTATACCTAATTTTAAAATAACAAAAGGAATTCTTTATTTAACTTGTTGAATGTTATTTAATCACTCAGCAACGCCCTCTGTGGATGTGGGATAGGAAGAGAATGACATTTAACAAATGTATTTACAATCTTAACATTAAGTTAATACTCATCACTTACACTTTAGGAAGTAAATTAGTATAAGCAAAGTTTCTTTTTACACACAAAAATAGACAGCTGACAGGGACTGTTTAGTATACAGGGCCTAGAACATGGGTGAAACTCAAAAGAGGAGAGGCATAGGATTAAAGAAAAGAGAGTTGGGATATTGAAAGAGAAGCTATGACAGCAAACACTGCTATTTAAAAAGAGTATACTTTAGTGGAAAGAGAATTCTGGAATCATAAGACTCAAGTCAGAGTTCTTTTTCCATGCAATTTAGTTTAGCAACAAAAGTCTAACTTGTAGCAGGCTATATGTGCAAATAAAATGTGTATTTGTTGTTTGTGTGTTGTGATATTTTTAAAAATTTATCTTTATTATTGAAAGTATTACAGATGTTCTCCTTTTCCCCCACATTGACCCCTTCCACTCCATTCCCATCCCCCCCTCAGGCCTTCACTGAACTATTGTTTGTGTCCAGGGATTATGCATATATGCATATCAGCTCTTTGGTTAATCTCCTCCCTCCTTCCCTCTGAAATATATCAGTCTGTTGCATGTTTCAATGTCTCTGGGTCTATTTTGTTTGTCAGTTTATTTTGTTAATTAGCTCTTCTTAAAGAAGACCTTTCAGCATTTTGTGTAATACTGGTTTGGTGGTGATAAACTCAATTAGCTTTTTCTTGTGTGTGAAGCTCTTTATCTGACCTTTAGTTCTGAAGGATAGCTTTGCTGAGTAGAGTAATCTTGGTTGTAGGTCCTTGCTTTTCATCACTTTGAATATTTCTTGCCACTCCCTTCTGGCCTGCAAAGTTTCTGTTGAGAAATCAGCTGACAGTCTTATGGGAGCTCCCTTGTAGGTAATTAACTGCTTTTCTCTTGCTTCTTTTAAGATTCTGTTTGTCTTTAACCTTTGGCGTTTTAATTATGATGTGTCTTGGTGTGGGCCTCTTTGAGTTCATCTTGTTTGGGACTTTCTATGATTCTTGGACTTGTAAGTCTATTTATTTCACCAAGGGGGGGAAGTTTTCTGTCATTACTTTTTTCAAATAGGTTTTCAACTTCTTGCTCACTCTCTTCTCTTTCCTTACACACATAATGCTAATGTTGGTACCCTTGAAGTTGTCCTACTTGAAGTATCCTCATACTTTTGAATTCTTTTTCCTTTTTGCTCTTCTGATTGGGTGTTTTTTGTTTCCTCATAATCCAAATTGCTGATTTCATTCTTGGCGTCCTCTACTGTACTGTTGATTCCCTGTAAATTATTCTTCATTTCAGTTAGTGTAGCCTTTATTTCTGACTGCTCCTTTTTTATGTCATTGATGTTCTCACTAATTTCCTTGAAACTCTCACTAAGTCCCTTGGAGCTCTCATTAGGTTTCTTGAGCATCCTTATAACCATTGTTTTGAACTCTATATCCTGTAGTTTGCTTGCTTCCATCTCATTTAGTTCTTTTTCTGGAGATTTCTTCTGTTCTTTCATTTGGGACATGTTTCTTTGTCTACCCATTTTGGCTGCTTCCCTGTGTTTGTTTCTATGTGTTAGGTAAAGCTTCTGTGTCAACTGGAATTGGTAGAGTGGCCTTGTGCAGTAGGTGTCCTTTCAGGACCCAGTGGCTCAGCCTCCCCAGTCATCTGAGCTGGGCACCCTAAGTGCTCCCCTATGTGGGCTGCGTGCACTGTCCTGTTGTAGTTGAGCCTTGGTTAATGTTTTGTCACTGGGAGGCACTCACCATCAGGCCAATTGGCTGTGAAGACCAGCTGGGACTACAGTGGAAGAGCTGCTGTTCTGGAGACATCCCTATGGAGAAGAGAATCTTTGGTGCTCACTGAATCCACCCCTTGAGAGTATTACACGTGGATGTGGTAGGGTTGTAATCCAGGGTGGTCAAAACTGACCACCAGGTGCATAGTCTCTGGGGTCTCCTGGGAAGTGCAAAGTCAGCTTCTGCTTGTGCCCTGCCCAGGG